CATTTTTCTCTTTCTTTCTCAACCTCTTTCTCTCTTTCTCTCTGTCTCTCTATCTGTCCCCTGTCTCTCTTTCTCTTTCTCTTTCTTTCTCTCTCTCAACCTTTATCCTTCTTTCCGTGCCCCCCTGCATTTCTTTATCGCTGTGGTTGACTATCCTGGGATAGCGAGGCAGATGAGCTACCCTACGCGAGCAGATGAACATCTTAATTTCCGTTAAGCGCTTACACATAAAATCTAATAGGTTTCGTTTCGACGGTCCTCGACGAGCACGCTCGTCGAGGACCGTCCAAACGAAACAAACACGTTGTGTGAAGACTTTTCAAGCGAAACGAGCAGTAAAAAGGAACTCTCAAGCGAAACAAACAAATAGTTCGAGGATGTCCCAAGCGAAACGAGAGATTTGTCGAGGATGTCTCAAGCGAGACAAGCCATTGTTGAGGATGTCTCAGAGAGGACAAAAAGCCAAGGATGTGTCAAGATATCCTCGGCTTTGGCTCCTCTGTTAACATCTTTCTGCTGGCCTCTGGTGGATAGTTTCATTATCGCACCGTAGCCGCCGAACTTTATTCTCCCAGGGTGTTTATTATCGGCTGTGTAAGGTTATAGGATAAGCTGGTAGTGTACGATTGATTGTCGTAATGTGTGTCCGCGGTATTTCCTGGATGACTAAATGTCGGGAATTAGAGCCCACGACGCAACACGATCGGGAATACCCGGAAATGATCGGAAATAGACACTCTGACTGCGGGCTATGTTGTAACACCACGGGCGCCCTCAACTCGTAACGGGCGTTTGAAGGGCAAACGTCTGGCCGGAAGGAAACTCGACAAAACCACGACAACCGCTGAAGGGTCTTAATCCGAGGTCGTCGTCTTCGTCGTCGTCGTCGCCTGAGAACCAACCAGGAGGTTCCGATAGTCCCTAGAGCGTCCCCCAGAGTCTCCCGAGGCCTCCAGCAAGCTCCATTGAGAACCGACACGAGCCCCGAGAACCACTCAAGAGGTCCCCAAAAGCTTCCCTGGGGGCCCGCACGCAATCAGAATCGTAACAGGCGTTTGAAGGCTAGACGTCCGGCCGGAAGGAAATTCGAAGAGGCCACGACAACCGCTGAAGGGTCTTACTCCGAGGTCGTCGTCGTCGTCGCCGCCGTCGTCGTCGTCGTCGTCGTCGTCGTTGCCCGAGAACCACCCAAGAGGTCCCCAAAAGCTTCCCTAGGGGCCGGCACACAATCAGAGTTGTAAGAGGCGTTTGAAGGCTAGACGTCCGGCCTGAAGGAAATTCGAAGAGGCCACGACAACCGCTGAAGGGTCTTAATCCGAGGTCGTCGTCGTCGTCGCCGCCGCCGTCGTCGTCCTTGCCGTCGTCGTCGTCGCCGTCGTCGTCGTCGTCGTCGTCGTTGTCGTCGTCGTCGCCGCCGCCGTCGCCGTCGCCATCGCCGTCGCCGTCGCGGCAGTCGTCGTCGTGGTCTTCGTCGCCGTCGTTGTCGTCGTCGTCGTCGTCGCCGTCGGGCGTCGCCGTCGTCGTCGTCGTCGTCGTCGTCGTCGTCGTCGTCGTCGTCGTCGTCGTCGTCGTCGTCGTCGTCGTCTCCGCCTTCGCCGTCGCATTCCTGCTCGTTGTCGCCGTCGTCGCCGTCCTCAGCCACCTCGGACTCCAGAGCCTTCCTCCAAGACACCTCACCGCCCGACGCCAAGGTAGGTCTGGAAGTGCGATGCCGCGGCATCCCCCTCAACGAACCAATTGGGGACCCCTACTCTAGCCCCCAAAGCTTCCCCGAGACACCCAAGAGGACGAGCAAAAACCACAGGGGGAATCTAACAGCCCACCAAACAGGCACCTTGAGACGTGTCGGAGCTCCCCCTGACGCCCCACAACTATGTCCGCTAGCGACACGCTGAGGCATGCCTCTCTCGCCGACATGTCTCATGGCCCCCCCGATAGCCCCTGGAGTGTCCCCGACGCCCTCCCGAGGCTTCCCGCAGGCCCCCACGAAAACCGACAAAAATCCCGAGAACCACTGAAGAGGTCCCCAACCACTAGAGGCCCGCAATCACCCAGAATCGGAAGAGGCGGTGCCAGACCAGAAGACTGACCGGAGGGAAATTCGAAGAGGCCACCATAACCGCCACAGGGTATTCATTCGAGGCGTTCGATTGCAAGTGACGGCGTTGGGCCCACAGGCACGTTTTCAATTTCGTTTCTGGGGGGGCCCGCGCCCATGGCGCGAAGATGAAACAAAGGGTCTCGCACAAGGGGCCAGGCCAGGACCGAGCTGCCGCCCCATGTCGCTCACGAACACTGTGTGAGACCGCCCACACAAACAGCCCACTCCTCCAAAGGCTCCCAATGACTCACCAAAGCCCCCCAAGAAGGCCCAGGGTCCACCCTTCAAAAACAACACGAGCCCCCGTACATATCCCGACGTGATCCCAACTGGCCACCCGAATTCTGCACAGCAGGCCGTGGATTTCCCCACGGGTTCTCACTAGTCTATACTACAATGCAGGGACCCGCGCGTGCGAAAAGGGCGATTCTGGTCAAAAAGTGTAGCATGCCCAAGACACGCCAAGAGGGCCCCAAGACGGCCCCAGAGGGCCCCGGGACGCCCCAAGATGGGCCCAAGACGCGCCAAGAGGGCCTCCAGAGGCCCCCAAGACGGCCCCAGAAGGCTCCGGGACGCCCCAAGATGGGCCCAAGACGCCGAAGCTTGGGCCAAGGCGGCCCCAGAGGCGGCCAAAAGGCCCCAAGAGGCCTCCCAAGAGGCTTCCCAGCAGGGCCCCGAGCGGGAGAAATCGTCGATTTCCATTGTGTTTTTCCATGTTTTTTGCATTCTCCTCTTTTCGCCGTCCCTGCGCTCCAAGACGGCCCAAGAGGTCCCCAAGACCGCTCCAAGACCACCGACGAGGCCCGCAAGAGGGCCTCAAGACGGGCCAAGAGGGCCCCCAGACGGTCCCAAGACACCCCCAGATAGCCCCAGACGGCCCCCCAAGACGGCCCCAGAGGGCCCCGGGACGCCCCAAGATGGGCCCAAGACGCGCCAAGAGGGCCTCCAGAGGCCCCCAAGACGGCCCCAGAAGGCTCCGGGACGCCCCAAGATGGGCCCAAGACGCCGAAGATTGGGCCAAGGCGGCCCCAGAGGCGGCCAAAAGGCCCCAAGAGGCCTCCCAAGAGGCTTCCCAGCAGGGCCCCGAGCGGGAGAAATCGTCGATTTCCATTGTGTTTTTCGATGTTTCTCGCATTCTCCCCTTTTCGCCGTCCCTGCGCTCCAAGACGGCCCAAGAGGTCCCCAAGACCGCTCCAAGACCACCGACGAGGCCCGCAAGAGGGCCTCAAGACGGGCCAAGAGGGCCCCCAGACGGTCCCAAGACGCCCCGAGACAGCCCAAGACGGCCCCAGAGGGCCCCGGGACGCCCCAAGATGGACCCAAGACGCGCCAAGAGGGCCGCAAGAGGCCCCCCAGACGGCCCCAGAGGGCTCCGGGACGCCCCAAGATGGGCCCAAGACGCCAAGGCTTGGCCCAAGGCGGCCCCAGAGGCGGCCAAAAGGCCCCAAGAGGCCTCCCAAGAGGCTTCCCAGCAGGGCCCCGAGCGGGAGAAATCGTCGATTTCCATTGTGTTTTTCTATGTTTTTTGCATTCTCCTCTTTTCGCCGTCCCTGCGCTCCAAGACGGCCCAAGAGGTCCCCAAGACCGCTCCAAGACCACCGACGAGGCCCGCAAGAGGGCCTCAAGACGGGCCAAGAGGGCCCCCAGACGGTCCCAAGACACCCCCAGATAGCCCCAGACGGCCCCCCAAGACGGCCCCAGAGGGCCCCGGGACGCCCCAAGATGGGCCCAAGACGCGCCAAGAGGGCCTCCAGAGGCCCCCAAGACGGCCCCAGAAGGCTCCGGGACGCCCCAAGATGGGCCCAAGACGCCGAAGATTGGGCCAAGACGGCCCCAGAGGCGGCCAAAATGCCCCAAGAGGCCTCCCAAGAGGCTTCCCAGCAGGGCCCCGAGCGGGAGAAATCGTCGATTTCCATTGTGTTTTTCGATGTTTCTCGCATTCTCCCCTTTTCGCCGTCCCTGCGCTCCAAGACGGCCCAAGAGGTCCCCAAGACCGCTCCAAGACCACCGACGAGGCCCGCAAGAGGGCCTCAAGACGGGCCAAGAGGGCCCCCAGACGGTCCCAAGACGCCCCAAGAGCTCCAAGACGGCCCCAGAGGGCCCCGGGACGCCCCAAGATGGGCCCAAGACGCGCCAAGAGGGCCGCAAGAGGCCCCCCAGACGGCCCCAGAGGGCTCCGGGACGCCCCAAGATGGGCCCTCTGAGAGCCATCTTGGACCGTCTTGGCCATTCGCGCCGCTCGGACCCCCGACATCTTGGGCAGCATTCGCCGTTCTCACCGCTCTGAACGCCATCTTGAGCCATCCCGACGAATCCACGCTCTCCTCCAGGCATCTTGCCATCACCTCGGAGCCTTCGCCTTCCAGAGCCTCGCGGGCTCAAACGGCCCAGCTGTCAGCCGCGCGTGCAACCCACCGGAGCCGTCACGACACGAAAACGTCACCATGCCATGTCAAGTGGCCCCCAAAGGGGTCTGCAAGCACTTTTTCTTAGAAAAATGGTCCGCAGGGCCCTTTGGCGCCCAGAGCGAGCCTACAGTAAGCGATAGTGGCCCTCGGAGGCCCTCTGAGAGCCATCTTGGACCGTCTTGGCCATTCGCGCCGCTCGGACCCCCGACATCTTGGGCAGCATTCGCCGTTCTCACCGCTCTGAACGCCATCTTGAGCCATCTTGGCCATTCGCACCGCTCGGGCGCCCCGTCGAATCCACGCTCTCCTCCAGGCATCTTGCCATCACCTCGGAGCCTTCGCCTTCCAGAGCCTCGCGGACTCAAACGGCCCAGCTGTCATACATGGCCACGTCCGGTGCCCCCCCCCCCCCCAGGAGCCCGTTCCTCCGAGAATCATTCCAGAAAGATTTCGTGGACGGAGTCCACGGGTCAGCCCTAGTCAGCTACAGCGCTGGGATCAGTGCGTGCGAAAAGGGCGGGCAGTGGCAGCCGGCGCTGGCACTGCTGAGCGAGATGTGGGAGGCGAAGCTGGAGCCCAACGTCATCAGCTACAGCGCTGGGATCAGCGCGTGCAAGAAGGGCGGGCAGTGGCAGCCGGCGCTAGCGCTGTTGAGCGAGATGGGGGAGGCGAAGGTGGAGCCCGACGTCATCACCTACAGCGCTGGGATCAGCGCGTGCAAGAAGGGCGGGCAATGGCAGCCGGCGCTAGCGCTGTTGAGCGAGATGTGGGAGGTGAAGTTGGAGCCCAACGTCATCTCTACTACAATGAAGGGGTCCGCGCGTGCGGGAAAAGCAGGCCACGGGGAAAGCGCAGTCGGCGCCCCAGCGGCCCCTGCGAGCCCTGGGCCCCCAGACGGCTCCAAACGGCCCCCAGACGCTCAAGAGGCCGCCCCGACGGCCCAAAGACAAGACGGTTCGCTCAAGAGGCCGCCTCGACGGCCCAGGAAGCCCCCAAGGCAGGCCAGGAGGCTCCCAAGACGGCCCTGGAGGACCTCCCAGGAGAGCCCCAAGAGACCCAAATTGTCCCAGTCCTTTCGGGAAGCGCATATTTGGAGATTATCGTGTCTTTCGCTTCCGACGCGTCCACGACGGGCATAGAGGCCCCCAAGGTCGCCCTAAGATGCCCCCATGAGGGCCCCAAGACGGCACAAGACGACCCCAGGACGGCCCAAGAGGCGCCCAGGACGGCCCAAAAGGTGCCCAAGACGGGCCCAGACGGCCCACGACAACCACCCGAGAGGCAACCAAGACGGCCCAAGAGGGCCCCCAGAGCCCCCAGACGCTCAACGGGCCGCCCCGACGGCCCAAAGACGGTTCGCTCAAGAGGCCGCCTCGACGGCCCCGGAAGCTCCCAAGGCAGGCCAGGAGGCTCCCAAGACGGCCCTGGAGGACCTCCCAGGAGAGCCCCAAGAGGCCAAAATCGTCCCCTTCCCATCGGAAAAAGGCATATTTAGGGGCATTATCGTGTTTTTCGCTTCCGACGCGTCCAAGACGGGCATAGAGGTCCCCAAGATCGCCCTACGATTCCCCCATGAGGGCCCCAAGACGGCACAAGACGACCCCAGGACGGCCCAAGAGGCGCCCAGGACGGCCCAAGAGGTGCCCAAGACGGGCCCAGACGGCCCCACGACAACCACCCGAGTGGCAACCAAGACGGCCCAAGAGGGCCCCCAGAGCCCAAAACGGACCCACCACTGCTCTTGGGGCGCCTATGGCGGCCCCAGACGGTGCCCAGACTGCTCCAGAGACGCCCAAGACGGCCCCAGACAACCCTCAGACGGCCCCGGACGGTCTCCATACCGCCCAAGAGGCACCCGAGACAGCCCAAGAGGGCCCCCGGAGGCTTCCAGGAGGCCGAGAAGAAGCGCTGAGAGGCTCCGAAACGAGCCCCAGAGGCCCCAAGATCACGGCCCAAGAAGCACCGAAGACAGCACCAACAGCAGCCAAAGACGGCCTAAAACGGCCCGAAGAAGGTCCCAAAACGGCTCCAAGCGCACCATGGGCCGGCCACAAGACCATATTCTGGGCTGGCGGGCCGGTGGCCCAGAATCGGCTAGGGCCGCCCTGGAGGCGCCCGCGCTGTCCCGGGACGCGCCGGGCGGATTTCAGGGCTGGCGGCGCGGCGGCCCAGAATCGGCCCGCCGATTCTGGGCCGGAAGGCCGGTGGCCCAGAATCGCCCTGGCCGACCCTGGAAGCGCGCGCGGGTGGCCCAGAAACAGGTAGGCCCGCCCTGGGGTCGCGAGAATTGGCCCAGGGCGCGCTGGGCGGGAGTCTTGGCTGGTGGCGCGGCGGCCCAGAATTGGTCCCGCCGATTCTGGGCTGGCGGGCCTGCGGCCCAGAATCGTCCTGGCCGACCCCGGAAGCGCGCGCGGCGGCCCCGGGGCGCGCCGGGCGGGATTCTGGGCCGGCGGCGTGGCGGCCCAGAGTCGGCCCCGCCGATTCTAGGCTGGCAGGTCGGGAGCCCAAAATCGGTTGGCTCCAGAGGCGCGCGTGGCCCTGAGAGCGAGTGGCAGGACTCTGGAACGGCGGGCCGGGGGGCGCCCAGAATCGACACCGCCGACTCTGGGCCGGCGGGCCTGTGGCCCTGAATCGGGCCAGCCTAGTCTTGCAGCCCGTGGTCGCCGCCGCCGCCGCCACCACCGCCGCCGAGTCGTCGTCGTCGTTGCCGTCGTCGTCGTCGTCGTCGCCGTCGTCGTCGTCGTCGCCGCCGCCGCCGTCGTCGGTGTCGTTGGTTGGGAGGCTCGTCGGGGGCTCCCAGACGGGCGAGCAGCGTTATCTGGCTCCCCCGCAGCTCAGTGATATGTGGCAGGCAAACATGCCGCCATTCATCCTGCTCGCCTTGCGGCAGCACCCCTCCGCCCCGCAAGTGGACGTAGTCCACGGGTCAGCCCTAGTCAGCTACAATGCTGGGATCAGCGCGTGCGAAAAGGGACAGCAGTGGCAGCGAGCTCTGGCGCTGCTGAGCGAGATGTGTGAGGCGAAGGTGGATCCCAACGTCATCTGCACAGTACTACAATTCTGTCCGCGGCGCGTGCGCTGCGAAAGTAGCGAGCTGCTCGAATCGCGCTGGAGCGCCCCGGAGCGCCCAGATCGCCCTCAAGGCCCTTGGGGCGCTCCACAGGGGCGCTCCAGAGGGTCCCTAGATGGCTCTGAGACGGCCTCAGACAGCTCCAAGACAATTCTGCGGCGCTTGGGAGGGCGCCAGGACGGCCCAAGAGGACCCCAACGGAGCCCTGTGAGGGCCCGCTGACAGGCCATGAGCCTCCACAGACAGCCCAAGAGAACCCCGATGACAGCCCCCCCGAAGCCAACATCGTACAATCTCCGTCGGTTCTTGAAGGTTTTTCACATTCTCAACCCCCCCAGACGGCTCCAGGGGCGTCCCAGGTCGCTCCAAGACGGTTCGGGATGCCCCGACAAGTGCCCCAAGACGGCCCATGAGGGCCCCAAGACTGCCCAAATGAGCCCCAAGTCAGCCGAATAGAGCTCAAGGTGGCCCCCAACACAGCCCCATGAGGGCCCCAGGAGCTGCCCAACAGGTCCCAAAGCGGGTTCCAAGACGGCTTGAGACCGCCAACAACCCCATGCATGGCCCAAGGGCGGCCAGAGAGGCCCCCAAGACGGCTCAAGAGGGCTGCAAAATTGCCGAAGAGGGCCCCAAGAGGCTCCAGAGAGATCCCCAGGAGGCCTTGAGGGGGGTCTGACGAGAGTCCAGACGGCAGGCTTCCCGCAGCCCCCAAGAGGCCCCAAGTCGGCCCCAGAGGGTTGTAAAATGGCCGAAGAGGGCCCCCAGAGGCGGAAGACCCGGGAATCACGATTACAGGAACCTGGAAATCTAGATTTCTGGGTTTTCGGTCGGGGCCCCTTTAAAAAACACGGAAACCTAGATTTCCGGGTTCCCGCCGCCCCCCCCCCCACAAAGTGCGACCGTTTCTCATCTCTTCTTCCCTTCCTCCTCCTCCTCCCTCCTCCTCCTCTTCCTTCTCTTCCACCTTCTCCTCTCCTCCACCTTCTCCTTCTCCTCCTGTTCCCTCCTCATCCTCCTCCATTTCCTCCTCCTCGTCCTGTTACGTTGAGGTGTGATGTCATCTGTTATGGTGTGTTCTGATGTGTGGATCCATTACATCATGCTTTCTTTCATTGCGTGATGACATGTTCTGTTACTTTAAGGGTAGCTCTTTGGGAGATGTTATAGTATCGGGAGCATAGCTCGCGCGCCGTTGCCTTGGGCTCAAGGCACGCGCGCCCTATTTGCCCGGACACCGCGAGTGTTCGCTATGTGCTGGAAAGACCGATACATCGATCTTATCCTATCTTATCCGTCCATTCCTCTTACTGAACAGCCTCAGTACGATACCGGACGCTATTTGCCATCCGCTTCCCATGGAATCGGATGCTATTTGAGTTACCAGGCTCACTTTCGACTTGGTAGCGGAGCTGGCCGCACTCTCGTGTGGTCAGCTCTTGCTCTTCTTAGCCTCATACTCTTCGGCCCGATCTTCGTGACCACCTACCACCCTGCGCTTTCACTCCCAGTACGTTTACGAGGATCTATCCAAGAGCAAGAAGCGACACGAGAGGTACGACGTCTAGACAACGACATTGGTACCATATACGCTTCATCATTGCGCTACTACCAACCGCTCGGCAAGGAACCAAAAGCGCAATACCTGAAGCATGGGCGGAGAGATCCGCCAGATAGAGCGCCTCGAAGACTCGACAAGGCGCTACCCCAGCGCGGCAACGCGCCTCATAACCACCCCTATCTACATAGCCTTGGGCTGGTTATCTTCGCTATCATATGGTTCGCGCCGGGGGCAGCAATCGGACACATGCGTCGTGGAGACAACAGCACCGATGGGCAAACACATGGCCCATATTGGGACCCTCAAGGCAACGTACCTTTCCGCGAGTACGTTTATGAGGTCAACGCATGGCTCAACGTCACAAGCGGACGTATGACGCCACAGGCCCAAGCGGCCGCCATACAACGCGGCCTGGGTGGCCTAGCGAGGACACTCGCCATGAGGGTACCGCCAGACATTATAAATTATGGTGCTGACATCGATGGGGTCCACACCGACCCAGTGACGTACATCATGTTCCTCCTAAGCATGAAGTTCGAACGCCTGGAAGATGAGCGCCAGCTCACTTCCGGCACACAACTCATCGACTTCCACGTGCCTCACGGGGAACGAATCGATGTCACCCTTACCCGATTCGAAACAGCCCGGCTTGAGGCACAGTCGGTGGGATTTGACCTTCCCAGATTCCAACTACTAACCACGATCCTGTTCCGCGCTTTAGGCGTCGGCAACCAGCGAGCCATGCAACTCTTACAGCCACTCAATCACCAAATGCCCCGAACACAACAACAGTATGATGAGTTGCTGGAGAGGATGCGTTCGATAGGTCACCTATCTGAACGGTCTCCTGGTAATATAGGATCTGTGTTTGGAAGGGGAAGGGGATCTGGTAGTGGAAATTTCTACACTACCTTGACCACTGAAGCCCAGCCTGGGAACGGGCCCTCAAGCATATGGGCCGATGATCCTGGAGAATCCACTGCTCTACTAGCAGGAGATCGATCACAACCAAGCTGGGCAACCAGCCCTCCTTCTAGAGAACCACAACCACACCGTTCCTTATGGGGTGAATCAAACCCCCTAACCGACGGTGTATCCACCTACTTGGGATACGATGACTTCGACTCCGGCACCGACACAGATACTATATCATCAGACGGTGTTGAAACTTTAGATTGGTCAGATATTATGAATATGGATAATGACAATCAGCGTGCTGAACAGTTGTTCTGGTTATTACAACAGGCTAAACGGAGGTGGATGAGGTTCACACGACAACCAGTGCGTCGTGTTAGGAGGAGGATACGGAGGAGCTTCAAGGGAAAAGGTAAAGGTAAACGAGGTCGTCGGAGGTTGAACGGACGAGGCATCACGGCATTCCTCCAGAGGCTCTCAGATGAACAACATGATGAGATATTCTTCGGGGGAAAGGGCCGTGGCAAGGGCCGCAGAGAGACCTCAGGAAAAGGCAAGGGTAGGCGGGGAAACCCGCGAGGTAGAGACGGCCAGGTTCTCAAGTGCCATGAATGCGACAGTGCCGACCATCTTGTGCGAGATTGTCCAGCGAAGGGAAATGGAAAGGGCAGGTCGACCGAAGTCCGTTTTGGCTCAAGTGAACCGTTCATCGAATATCTGAGCCTCCAAGATTTTGAGGCCATGGAACAGATATTTTACACTTGGGTCAGTTGCATGGACAACGTCGACGAGCTCGAGGCGTATGGTCATGGATTGTACGCGTACTACCTCGAGTACGTCCGCCGGTTCGTTATTGGCAACAACGAGCTCACTCCCGTGGACCACGGTGCGCTGGGCAACCAGCCTCTTTCTTCGACTGGATGTTCGGGAACCCAGTAACATTATGGCCTACGAAAGCAGTGACGAGGACATCACTGTGGAGGCCTCGCCTTCCGAGGTTGAACGCAACCTCCAACCTCCACCTGAACTCCCGCCTGGAAACAGGCCTGCCTATCCCCAAACTAATGAAGAACTTATAGATATGGAGTCTCAAGCGTTCGTTCAAGCTTTCATTGCAGGTGAACCAGAGATCTCATTTGCACCCCCTGGTTCGCTTGTTCCAGGCGAGTGCGGACCACGTGCACTTCTGCAAACCTTCATGAGGATGCATGAGATACTTATCTACTTATCATCGCACATCCCGAGAGTCAAGAGAGCATCGAAGCTGGTATCATGATGCTGCAGGACACCGACGCCTGCGATGACTCGGAGTTAGTGTTGGCAGCTTTGACTCTCATTGACAGCGTGCATCCTGAGGACGTGCAGAGACACGTGATATACTCCCGCGGGAGATGGCGCGATGCTCTTGAAAGGGCCATCGCCATGCGCGGTCAGGCTCTTCCTCCGCCAGGATGGGGTCTCCAGGCGGTGGGACTGTGGCCAAACAATACGGCCATGCGCAACATTGCCGGGCAGCCTGTGCTCGGCAACGGGCCTGAGCCGACAACCGTGCCGCCTACCCCGGGGCAGCCGAGCGACGCACAGACGCCGGCTATGCAGGGAAATCTGCCTGTCCCAGCTGCGCCAATGGCCATCATCATTGGTAGTTCTACATCAGAAGAAGAAGAGGGCGATGGTTGCGGGCTATGCGAGGACGAAGTCGCAATCCTCATGATGGAAGTCAACGGAGAGGTAGAGGTGGACTTTGATCCCGACGAGCCTGAAGTACCATCACCATCGGCACAAGCGCAATTTGCGCCGAGCTCCAGCCAGCAGGGAAACCTGCCTCATGTGGCCGATCCACCTGGGATCGCACAAGAGCCTCCGCAGGCGCCTCCGCCGGCTACCGCTCAGGCTGCTTCGGCAGCCTCTTCTGATGAGAATGCAGGAAGGTCTTGTTCCCATCCACGTGTCAGAGGAGAGCCACATCCACGGGCTCGGCTTCCTCGTGAGTGGAGGCAGGCTGGCCCGAAAGAACACGCTCTCAGGCGAGGAGGCCAGCTGCTTCCACATGATGACCCAAGACGCCGAAAAGGGGAACACTCGGCCTTCGGCAAGGGCAACCCTGCCTATAGGGACGCTGAGGGAAAAGGCCATCCGCGGAGGCTATCAGCTTGCAACAAACGTCCGCCGCCCTGAAATTGAAGAAGTGCGGACCCAGCTGCGAAACATCATCGCGGCTCGCAAGCAGTATAGGCCTCAAGCAGCTTGCGGACCTTGTTCCGAGCCGTTCCAGAACCACAGGCCGGGATGCCCCGTTGGCAACAATGAAGGTCTGAGCCCAAACAGGGGCAAAACCCTTCATAAAGAGGGCCATCCGCCACTTATCCCGATGACACAGGACGAGATCGCAGAAGTGAATCGTCGTCTCGGGATCCTGGGCCACTTGATCCGAAACAGGAAGAGGAGAAGTCTACCCCGGTTCCAAGGGGAGGACTGGTGCCCATGACCCAGGGAGAGAAAGACGCGCTCTTTAGTTTTCCTGGTATGCGAGGAAACTCGCCCGGCGTTTCTAGTCAGTCCCAACAACCAGAACTGACATCCAAGGATGAACAGAAGGCCCAACGTGTGGCGGAGGACGAGGAACGCATGCGGATAGCAGACGAACGCGCACGCGAGGCAACTCGCAAGATGTTGGAGGATTCCAGCAAGATTTACATGACGGGGGC